TTCTTCCCTCAAAGCGTGAGGTTCACTAAGTAAGAGTTGTGGGGTCCGTTCTAGACTTCGTCCGGGCGTAGAACATTCCTTTCAATGATCCTGAACGTTCAATGTCAGACTTCGAAATGAGAACTCTCAATGCTGCCTGAAAGGCCACGCCTGGGGTTGATGTGCGATGCTGTTTGTTTCAACAGGAACAGAGCACATACCAAAAGGTACGCAAAGAAAACTGATAAACAACCAAAATGTACTCAAAATACTTCAGGTCCAGGAGGTTGGGTTGCAGCAACAATAAAACGACCAGGTAGACACCAAATTAAAGGCGATATTCTGCTGTATTCCATTTTAGGAAAAAAAGCCTTAGGAAAATCGTCCTTAGGAAACACGGATTAGGAAAATTTGCTTTAGGAAGATTGTCTTTAGGAAAAATACACATTAGGAAAAACGGTTTAGGAAAACTGGGCGGGAACGCTCATGGGGCGTCCCCGGTAGGTGCGAGAGAGACCGAGCGACGTGGCGATAGAGACGGAGCGTCCTGCTGCCGGCGTCGTAGGCCGGCCGGAAACGGGGACTAAGCGCTCTAATTTGCGCGGATAGAGGACGCCCCGCCCCGCCCCGCCACTGCGGACAAAAGCACCGCGACAGCGGGGGGTTATCGAACCCGGGACGCGACCCAGCCAACCAGTGCAGCACGGCGACGACGGCGGCGCCGCGCTGCAGACACTGCGAGTCCGAGGGTCCTTTCGGTCGCTCCGTCTCTCTCGCACCTGCGGGACGCCCCGTGAGTGCGAGAGAGACGGAGCGACGAAAGCGGCTCTCTGAGGGCGGCAGGGCGACGGACGGCGGCCGAGGGGTAGGCCCTGCCCTGGCCCTGCCCTGGCCCTGCCCTGGCCCTGCCCTGGCCCTGCCCTGGGCCCGACGAGGTAGACGCAATTTGGCTCCAAGTGATTATCGATTATGGTGAGGATCGCTGCAATGCCTGGCGATGGCCGGCGATGCCCCCGGGCCGTGGGGGCCAGCAGGGCCAGCAGGGCAGGCCAGACTTGCCCCGGGACTCCAGGACCCCGCCGTGGCCCGCCGTGGCCCGCCGAGGCCTCCCATAAATCTGGACGGGGCGAGCTCGGCCAATCAGCGCGCCCAGCGCACGCCAGCGCCACCTCGCTCTGTCTCTCTCGCACTCGTGGGGCTCTCCATGTGTGTGCGAGAGAGACAGAGCCGATCTTCCGAATCACTCGGCAGGGCGTGTAATTGGGGGGAAGCGTCGCTCTGTCTCCCTCGCACCCCTGCGGAACGCTGCGCAGCGCGCCACGAGTGCGAGAGAGACGGAACGGCGCAAGCGCTGGTCGGGGATCGGGCGCCCGACCGAGCAGGCACGCAGGCTGGCACCTCGCGTGCCTCTCGCGACGCGGCGACGCGGCCAGGGCACCTACAGTGTGAGGGTGGCGACGGCCGCGGGAATGTCCGACACCCTCCGCTCGCCCGTCACCGCCAGACCGAGAGTCGCTTTCGCCGCTTTGTCTCTCTCGCACTCACGGGGCGCCCCGTGCAGGTGCGAGAGAGACAGAGCGACGAAGACGTCTGCAGCTCGGTCTGACCCCCGTCTCTATCAGAGTCAGCCAGCCGAGAGGCAGGCCTTCCCCCAATTTGGCAGCGTCTCCTCCACGACGACAGCCCCCCCCACCCAATTTCCTCCTCCGCAACACCTCGGCGAGGTCCTCGAGGCCCTCGGCGTGTCGCTACGCAGGCGTCAATTTCCAGTAATGACCGCCACCTCAGCACCTCTCTCTCTCTCTCTCTCTCTCTCTCTCTCTCTCTCTCTCTCTCTCTCTCTCTCTCTCTCTCTCTCTCTCTCTCTCTCTCTCTCATGGGCCATTCCGTCGAGGAGTGAGAGAGACAGAGCGACGAAAGCAAGCACTGTTCGGAACCAGCCAGCTGGGCGCCACCACCGCAGCCCCGCCGAGGTTGGCAGAACCCAACAGGACTCCCAATCCGCCGGAAGGACAATTATGGCACGTCTGTCTGTCTGTCTGTTCGTCTGTCGTCTGTGAGGTTTGCGTTGTCGTTTGACACACTGGCGGCCACCGAGGGCCCCGAGTCCGAGACGCGTTTTATCAATTCCGAGGGCTGGCGGCACGGCACGCTCGCTGCGCTCGCTCAGCCAGATGACAGATTGGCGTCCGATCGGCCGATCGCCGTCGCCGGGGACACTGACACTAGTCCGGCACACTGACTCCCTTCGCTCGACCGGCTGGCTGGCTGCCTGTCTGGCTGCCTGACTGCCTGGCTGACTAACTGGCTGACTGACTGACTGTTTGGCTGACTGGCTTCAAAATTCAAACGCGTAAAAAAGCAAAACGCGCGTGCAGGGACGACACGACAGAAATAGAGCGACACGCTTTTCTTTTCTTCCACGTCTGGAAAGTCGGTCGATGGCGAACGCGGCGCGACGCGGTCACGTGGTCGGTCGGGGTGTCGGCGGGGCCGTTGTGACAGCGCGCTGCACTAGCGCCGCGTGATGGATCAGTCCATTTACCGGCCGGGCGGGGCGGGGCGGGGCGGGGCGGGGCGCGCCGATACATATTCATTGGCTCCGTCTAATACGGCCTGGTGCGCGCGGCCGCGTGGCCCGTTGCACGCGCGCGACGCGACGCCGAGCCTCATCGTTGTGATATTGATGGTCGCGCGGCGGACCGATTCCGAGAGTCGCTCTGTCTCTCTCGCACTCGCGGGGCGCCCCGTGCGGGCGCGAGAGAGACAGAGCGACTCTCGGAATGAGTCCGCCGGGCGCGCCGAGCCACCGCCACGATGACCCACGCGATCATCGTCGTCATTATCCTCATCGCCACTTCCGTCGCCGCGGAGCCCCGATCGAACGTGACAGCCCATCATCAGCGTCCAGAGGCCGGATTCCGACAGGCGTCCCTATCGCACTCACGGGCGCCCTGCATGGGTGCGAGAGAGACAACGACTCTCGGAATCGGTCCACTACGCGACCGGATTCTTCCATTTTACACCCGAAGTGCCTCCCGAAGGCGGCCGACGGCGGCACGCAGTGTAGGCACCGTGGCCGAGGGCGCGAGCGAGCAGGCCCCATTCTCATTAGCCCCGCGCCCACTGCGACGCGCGTCTGTCTCTCTCGCACTCGCGGCGCGTCCCGGCGGCGTGCGAGAGAGACAGAGCGACGTGAACCCGCGGCCAGTGAATGGAGACGGCAAGCTTTCCGGCCGACTGCAGCAGCCGCGTCTCGCTGTCTCTGTCGCACTCATAGGGGTCCCCGTCAGGGTGCGAGAGAGACAGCGACAAATCGCAACGACCCGCGGCGGAAGCCACGGGGAACCCGAAGGGGAACCCGACACCGCATTTCGGGTGCAAAACATCGCCGAGTCGGTGGAGTCCGAGTTGGAGCCGCAAAAAGCGGCCCACTCCAGAAGTGTCTAAAAACACGATGACCGGCGCGGCGGCGGAGAGTGGCGTCCTCGTCGCTCTGTCTCTCTCGCACCTGCAGGGAACGTCCATTGAGTGCGAGAGAGACAGAGCGATGACTCTGGGAGTCATTGGGCTCCACAGTGGGCCAGAAGACCGGTGGAGGCGGCCAAAACGCTAGACGCGTTTTGAGCAGAGTCGCTTAACAGGACTCGAACCGAGCGTGTGACCCCAACAATGGATTGCTCTCCGACCGAGGAATCCATTGGTGGGGTCACACGTTCGGTTCGAGTCCTGTTTAGCGACTCTGGAGCTCAAAACGCGTCTAGCGTTTCGGCCGCCTCCACCGCTCTTCTGGCCCACTGTGGGCTCGGCTGCGCGATCCAGCCGCTTCTCAAACGTCGAGCAGGCGAAGCAGGCCGGGACTATCTATGACGGGCGATGGCGGTACGATAGGTGACGGGACGGCGATGTTTGTGCCGAAGCTTGACGTCTCACTGGCCGAGCCGAGCCGAGCCGAACCCGTACGCGACAAACCGGCCCGATGGATCAGACGGCACAGCACTGCCGGGCCTAACGCACAATGACAATACCGCCCCACTCCAAAGTAGCTTTGCATTGCGGAGAGAAAAAAGGCCTCGACTGCGAGACGGCCGGGGAAAAGAGGCGAAATAAAAAAATAAAAAACCGAACCGCCGAGAAAGAGAAAATCCTCGGAATCGGTCGATCGGCGGCGATACACTTTTGTGCTAGGGAAATGAGATCCCCGGCGACGACCTTCACTTGCACAGGACAATGACGGTGCTGCTCCAGTCCTCCAGTCTCCTCCAGTCGCCGACAATGCGAGCAAGCAAGGCGGGGCAAGGCGAGCAACAAGAGCAGCACAGCAGCGCCACGCACGATGCGGCAACAGCCCGCCGGCCGAGGCGAAGGAAGGCCCCGCGCCGTGCCGTGCCGTGCCGTGCCGTGCCGTGCCACGCTCATGGCGGCGCAGCGCAAAGACGCGCCACGCCGCCTCAAACAGATTTAAGCTCATTTTGACAGAACAACAGAGATTCGCCGAGGCAGCGCTGCTGCAGTACACCGTATACGCTCCGCACGCAGGCAGCCAGCCAGCCAGGCAGCAAGGCAGATCCAGTATGCAGATTATAAGGCTCTCCCAGCCTCTCGCTGCCTTACAATGTTAATCCCCGACACCGCGACAAAATTCGCACCTTATATTCTCTCCGGAGGGAATGGGTTCGCGCTGTCGCCGGGCTGGCAGGGGCGGCTGCACCCCTCGCGGGGGCGGACAGTGGGCCAGAAGACCGGCGCCGGCGGCCGAAACTCCAGACGCGTTTTGAGCTCCAGAGTCGCTTAACAGGACTCGAACGGGGCGTGTGACCCCACCAGTGGATTCCTCGTTCGGAGAGCAATCCATTGGTGGGGTCACACGTTCGGTTCGAGTCCCATTTAGCGACGCTGGAGCTCAAAACGCGTCCGGGACTTTGACCGCCTAGCGCGGCCCTTGTAAAGCCCGCCGGTACGCCCCGTGTTTTCCAGCCGTGTCCGCTCCGGCCGCTCTCCGGCATCGACTCGACACTCACCCGCTGCAAGCACTGCGCGCGGCACTGGGCCACCGTGAGCGGCGACCCGATGTCCTCCGGCTGGTCCGACGAGGGCGGCGGCGTGGTGCGCGCGGACGCACACGCCACCAGGACCAGGACGCCGACGAGCACCTTCATGACGACACTGGGAAAATCACTCTGGCCGATTCGAACAGGTGGACGAGCTCTCCCTGTTGCCAAGGACCTACACAAAACGCGCGACGCACTTTTTTCCAATTTTCCCTTTCAAATGACTTTCACCATTTTCCATCCACTGGACACAAGCACTTGACACACACTGCACTGATGGAGCAGGGAAGCACACTGTCGCGCCACTGGGCCGCGATCACACTGTAAGTATCCTGGGCGCGTCTAGGCGATCGCGGAGCGCGAAGTGCGAGGTGCCGGCGAGCGACTGGGCGAAGCACGTCCTCTCCCGGCGACGCTCTCACAGCAACTGGCGCGCCACGCCCGCCGCGCCGCGCCGCCGCGCCGCCGGCCGGCCCGCCTCGCCACCACACCGCAAGGCGGCAAGGCGCGCCGGCTCCGCTCCGCCCGGCTGCAGCTGGCGGGGTGCGGGGGTGGGCGGGGGAGGGAAGGGGAGGCCCGAGCCGGCCTCGGGCGCCCTCTGCCGGCCGTGGCGGCAACCAGTGTAGGGTCCTGGCTGGCTGGAGGGCGCACGGTGGCCCGGCTGAACAGGCTTGGTCTGACAGCTGACTGAGTTTCGCGCGAGCGGGGCAGCTTTCGGCTCTCGTTTCCGCTTCTCGGCGCCGTCGAACCTCAACCGATTTCGTCTCTCTGTCTCTCTCGCACCTGTACGGAACGCCCCATGAGCGCGAGAGAGACAGAGCGACGCAAACGACTCTCTAAATCAGTCTGACGGCAAGTTTCTGTCTCCAGCCTGAACTTCCGCCGCCGCTCATCTCCGAACAGCAAAAACTTCGGCCCCATCGTGATCCATCCATCCAACCGCTTGCCCCACTTTTTGGGTCGCATGCAGTGTGGTGGAACAGTCCTCTCGCAGTGTGCCTGATGGACGAAATGAGCCCCGACGCCACACACGCTGACAGTAAGGGGTCCCCTTATGGTACTCATTATTCGACGCGACGGCTTTCAGCGCGCGCGTTGCTGAGAGAGAGAGAGAGGGGGGGGGAGGGGGAAGGGAGAGGTGGCGAGATGGGTTTGCGCGCGAAAAATGTTCTCACACATTTCAGGTTGCCGCGCGGCGACCCATGGCAGCAGCATTGCGCCCCGGTCCCGGACATGTCATCAGAGATTGCGACGCCCAGGGCATCATGCAGGCATTCCGGCCAACCCCTGTAGTTGTAGTGGTGCGCGTTGGAATGTGTGTGTGCGTGTGTGTTTTTGTGTGTGTGTGTGTGTGTGTTTGTGTGTGTGTAGGTGTGTGTGTGTGTGTGTGGTGTGTGTGTGTGTGTGTGTGTGTGTTGCTGGTGTTGGTGTGGGATACCGTCGCGTTGCGCCAAACCAAATCTGACAGCAGAGGGACGGGGAGCGAGCGCGTCGTGGATTAGGGCGTGTGGGCGGATCCCCATTGGTCGAGGTGTAACTTGAGCGCGCGACGCCGCCATGCCGGGGCCGAGGCTCCCTTCGCCGCGTTGTCACTCCACTGCAGACTGATGCGTCGCTCCGTCTCTCTCGCACTCGTGGGGCGTCCCGTGGAGGTGCGAGAGAGACAGAGCGACGGCACACGGAATCAGTCTGCTGCAGCGTGATCCCCCCGCAGCAGGAAGACAAAGTCATCTCCGCGGTGGCGTGGTCGGGGTGGCATCGCCAGTGCAGTGGCAAAGGCGACGCCAGGTGCGCGCAGCCCGCCACAATCTTGGGCAAACACCAGGGGGCTGATTCCGAGAGTCGTTTTCGTCGCCCTCTCTCTCTCGCACCTATGCAAGGCCCCACGAGTGCAAGAGTGACAGGGCGACGAAAACGGCTCTCGGAAGCGGTCTGCAGCACCACCGCACAGTGAGCCAGAAGACCGAGCTCCAGAGTCGCTGAACAGGACTCAAACCGAACGTGTGGCCCCACCGATGGATTCCTCGTTCGGAGAGCAATCCATTGGTGGGGTCACACGCCCGTTTCGAGTCCCATTTAGCGACTCTGGAGCTCAAAACGCGTCTAGAATTTTGTCCGCCTGCACCGGTCTTCTAGCCCACTGTGCAAAGCACCTTCAGGCCGGACAGACAGTGACGCAGCGACAGCGCTCCATTCGTCAACGAATAATGCGACTGCATGCTAATTGAACGCGGCGCTGCGCTCTTGACGCCTGCACTGTCAAGCCCCGCTCCACTGCAAACTCCGCGCCCACACTGGTAAAGCCGCATTCGCATAAGCGAGTCTAAAGATTGCTCGTTACTCGGATAAAGTATAATGCAGCGGCGCGCATTACAAACCGCGAGCTGCTTGGCGCTGCTCGCACGTGGTTTTACGGCCCAGCCAACAATGCGAGCAGACAACTATGTTGTGTTATGAAGAGATTACCGCACCGATACCGTCCCATTCCATTACTCGCGGGCCGTCCGCCCGCACGCACGCCGTCAGCACACTGTCTCTGTCTCTCTCGCGCCCATACGGGAGGCCCCGTGAGTGCGACAGAGACAGAGCGACGAAACCGACTCGGTCTCCCCAGCAGCCTCGTCAACGCGCTTGGAACCGCCACACTGTACGTACACTGCGTTGTGCATATACCGCCACGAGTTGGCGGGGTCCATTTGTCGTCCCAGTCAGTGCCCATTCATCCGCCTGGAAAAGCATTCTAAGGTTATCTTGATTTGATTTTACTGAGCGGAAAATGTGGATTTCACGAAAAATTTCATCGAAAGTTCATCGACACAAAAACTAAAAATTTCCAGCTTTCAAAAAACTTATATAAATATGAGTTACGATAATTTTGACAAAACTTTCATATCGTCGACATGTTCTTGTACCCTTGGTTTGGCATTCATTGTGAAATCAGCATCAAATTTGGGGGAGGGGGGGAGGGGTGACACGTTTCGGTTTGAGTCCCAGCGACTCTGGAGCTCAAAACGCGTCCGGGACTTAGACCACCTCCACCCGTCTTCTGGCAAATCCACTGTGCGGCACGCCCGAACGCTTTTTCGCAGTGTACTTACGCCACCAGAGGCCGGCAGTGGAAAGGCCAGTGCAAGGTGCTATTATCGGGGTGCATGTCACGATAACCCGATAACCTCTCATTGGCCGCCGTTGGCCACATAGCTGCGAGGGACCTGGCTGCCACTACACTGCGGCCCTCCTTGTCCGAGGCCAGGATCTGGCCAGGACCTGGCCAGGACACGCCGTGTTCACATGCACCATTAAGTTCCCGAATACCCTAAAGTCCCGACCTCCCCCGGGACTGGCGCCGCCTGCCGCCGCCGAGCGCGATTCCGAAGGATCTTTTCGTCGCTCCGTCCTTGTCGCACCTCTCCGGGACGCCCCATGAGTGCGAGAGAGACAGAGCGACGGCTGGCGAGGCCGGCGCGCCCAACGGTAGGGTATTTCATACAGCTCATTTGGGGCCTTTCGTAGTATGCATGCACCGGGGCAAAAGGGGGGGGGGGAGGCTTCGACCGGGCCGTCCGAGAATGAGGAGCGTTTAAACGATTTTTAGAGAGACGCGTTCGAGAGGCGCACGCAAGGCACTTCACGCTAAAAGTACAGGGTTCGTGGGCGCCACAAACGCACACGCACAGGCACGCGCGCGCGCACACACACACACACACACACACACACACACACACACACACACACACACGAGGATGCAGCTGACGTCGCTAATCAGAAAGTAGCGGCGGCACGCGACATCAGCATATGGAATGGAACGAAAAGCACATCGCGCTTCCATTACGTACCCCTCAACGAGGGAGCGGGCGTTCACCTTCGCCGAATCTGTTTTAAACGCGCCGGCCGACTGCAACAGATACAAGCTGCACTAAATTACACCCCCACTCGCGCCGCGGCTCTCGCGTGCAACGAGGGGGGATGGAGTGTGTTCAATGCAGAGGGCGAACCCCACGACTGGTATTGGGTTCGGGTGGGCTGCCCCGGTGCAGTTGGCGGCAGTCAGGACGCCGTTGAGATCCCTTCACCCCAGTGCACACATCTCTCTCTCTCTCTCTCTCTCTCTCTCTCTCTCTCTCTCTCTCTCTCTCTGCCCTCTGCCCCGTGCCTGGCGCGTGTGTCGGCCTGATCGCTCTAACTTTATGATTCGAAATAGAGCCCTCTATAAAGTGGACCATTTTCGGTGGGGCGCATCGCAGTGCATTACGTGCCAGTGTGCCCAAGGCGCGCCTCCAGAGGGGCTGTCGGGGAGGGCCTCGGGGAGGGCCTCGGGGAGGACGCTACGATTTGTCCGGGCCTGGACGAACCTCGAGTCCTGGTGTATGTTTCAACACCCTCACTGTTGAAAAAGCTTGGGAATTCTCTAAGTCGATGAGAAAAAATCGGAAAATTACAAAACCTGTAACGTTTTCAATTTTTTTGGCGAGATTTCTGCAAAACATCGTCTAGAAAAATGTAGCCTTTGCGGATTGCCAACGTGGAGCTCTGGCACGCCAAATTATTTTCAATGGCGAAGAACCCCCGCACGCTCAATGCCTGGCAGGATTTTGAAGTTGTGGTGCGAACTGTAAAATGGAGTGGACGAGGTTCGTGTTATACTTACGTTCCAGGAATAACTGATGGTCGTATCCTCTATTTTACATTTGCCCCCGGTGCGTGTGTATACACTGTAACAGCTTGAGTGCAATGAGGGTGGTGTCGTCGAGGTGACGTCAAATCGATTACACACACAGAGTCAGGAACGGTATCGCCCCTGGAGGCAGCGGGGCGCCCCCATTGTAAGTAATGAATGAAAAAAAAAAGTAAACAAAGTTACGGTTATTCGGTTCCCGCTAATATCGCATCGCATCCGCGGCCGGTCACACCAAGGAGTATACAATGCAGCACGCTGTATGAAAACAATGAGATCAAACTTGCGCAAGAAACGGCGGCAGAAGCTGCACGCCTCGGCTTTCACTTTTATACATTTCATTTAGATTCGAGCCGCGTGTTGGTTCCAAGTCGGTCTTATATTGCGACTCGGTACCTTTCTTTTTTTTTGGCCCGTCAAAGCAATACGCCGCGTCTTTACTACTCCGTTCCTTCCAGAATCTCACTTTTTCCGACACTTTTTTTTGTCACTTTCATTTCTCGCAGTGTAACAACAACAGTGCAGCAGCACACCGGTGCAGCACCCTTACGGCCCTGCCCAGGTCACCCTACCTGAGGCCGCCTGGCAGACCGATTCTCTCTCTCTCTCTCTCTCTCTCTCTCTCTCTCTCTCTCTCTCTCTCTCTCTCTCTCTCTCTCTCTCTCTCTCTCTCTCCGAGGACGGCCAGTGGGTGTGCGAGAGAGACAGAGCGACGGAACAACGTTTCGGAGCCTCCCCGGC